ATTTATATTTTTATTTTGAATTTAAATCACAAACCAAATTTTTGTTATAATCAAAAAAATTATTATAAAAAAAATTTAAATCACAAATCAAAATTTTATTTATTTTTTTATATTAAATCACAAATCCAGAACTCAGAGGTTTCTGGGTTTAACCGCTCTTATAATACCATTCTTGCAAATTAAAATTGTGTTTGTGAGAAATAAAATATGTCAAATGAGATGTCATTGCGTACATCTCGAAAAGTTGTGTGAAATCAAAAAAAGAATTACCTGATTTGGATAATCGAGTCAAAAGTTATGGCCTTTAGAAGTTTTATGATTAAATTAATTTTTCTTTTGAAAAAAAAAAAGTGACAGAGACGCCCCATTTGGGCGTCTTCCCCTTAGGGTGAGACGCCTCAATGGGGCGTCACATGTGACGCCCAAAAGAGGCGTCACAGTGTGCAATAGATCCGTAATTTTTTCCAAAATTACAATAAATACGTAATAATTTAATTAAAAAATATTATTTTAATTTTTTTTTTGCCAATAAAAGTGCTCTACCTGAAATCCGAGTGAAAAAAAAGTAACAACTATTTTATAATTAGAATAAATGTCACGATCCAAACCCAAATTATGACCGGTTCATTGGTTAAAATTAATCTTACCAGCATTTTGTTTGGCAAGTTTAATTTTCATTAAATATATTTAGATTTATCAAAATATATAATTAATCATCTTGTAGAAATAAAGAAGCAAATCTATGAAAAATAACAAAATAAAATTCTAAATAAATTGAAATATAAACATTGTCCGCAGCAACGATTGTCAAGTTCACCAATGATAACCACGTATACTTCTTCGATCCAACGAGAGAAGTGGAATTAGAAATTAATTATTTAACCTTATCAATCGAGGTGATCACCGTAATGTAATTTAGATGAACAGAAGAATGAAATGTTACGGTGGTTGTTCGTACATACATACTGCATAAATTCAATATATTTTTTTATTGTGCATGCAGACCATATTTAACAAAAAATTGGACATTCTTTAATTCTAATTTCGACCAAATTAATATTTTGTTCCCTTAAGAGAATATTTAAAACTTGAGTTGGTATAAAACTCTTTCCTAAAAGATCACTCTAAATTTGTTCATTAGGAGAGTACACTCTCTTAAGTTATCATTTGTCTAACATTGGCACTCTTCTACCTAATGAAAGGCTTGTCAATATGAAACAGTGTTTGGTTCAAGTTTTTGGAGAGGATTACCGGTAATCCTTCTTTGGTAAATGTAATTACCACGTTTGGTAGAAGGAATAAATTACGATTCCCGGATATCCAAGGATTACCGGTAATTTGATTTATAAAGAAAAGTCACTATTCAGATTACCAAAAATAATATGGTAATTCGGAACACCAATCAGAATACCAAGTAAAGGAAAAACACAACAATAAATTTTGAGACAAAAATACCCCAATACACATAAAAATCTAGACCCAATCTATCAATTACAAAAGTAAAAATAGTTTGGGGTTATTTTTGTAAAATAACCTCATATTCCAAGTCATATTTCGTTCTAAACCAAATATGGAATCAGTAATTTTTACCCAATATTTCCGGTAATATTTTGGCGAACCAAACACATCTTTCGTAAGATTCCAAGTAAACTCAATTTCTACTGAATTCCCATTAATCATGATTCCCGGTCACCAAAAAATTTCTCATGTACCAAACACACCCTGAATGACAAAATAGCCAATTCATGTCATCCATCGGGTAAAGCTATGATTATCCTAAAAAAACAGTATACCAATCGTTTACATAGAACATGAAGGAAGACCCAGAACAATGAACAAAACTATCATATATCATCACAAGAAATACACTTTGCTCTGCCTAGTCATTAAATTAAAGAAACAATGACTCTAGATCTAGCATTGCCTGTTACTTCAAAATCTCTTGGGACCTCAACTTTTGATTCTGTATAATTTCCTTCTTGGTTGATCATAATTCATCCTTGCTTGAAGCATCTTCCCCCATGAGTTCTTCAAGAGAAAATTCATCCTCTTCAATTATTTCCCCATCCTTGCCATCCCATGGTTCTGTTTTCACAATGGAAGGAGTGCCTTCTAGGGGCATATTCCCTTTGCCCCCACGTCCAGCTTCTTTCACAAATTCTCTGAAAAGAAATATGTAATAATCATCTATATGTTCATTTCAGTAGGAGATTTACCATTTAGAATAAACCCAACAACAGACTTACATAATATGGTCGAGCTCAAAAGCACTCTTGAGAGAAGAATAAACACCTTTCTTAAGGTTAAGGGCCACTAAAGCAGGATAACCATACCCACCAACACCCACATGCTTCTCAAGATCTGGCTGTTTACCTGCAGCTGTCCAGACATAGCTGTACGAGACACCCAAGTTTGAAGAAAAAAAAAAAAAGAGAGTTAAATTTATTAACAATGATGCTCTTAAGCATATGAATCCCAAGCATTTGAAACATGGACGGAATTTAGGAACAATTTGACATATATTAAAAAAAAAAATTCACTTCCCATTAAACCTCAATTGGCAAGGGTTTGTACGCAACCTTAACCTTATATATTTGCAAAAAATCTATTTCCCTGGAAAGTAACTCAAAAATTTATGGATTTTATATTTGTCATGTTACATGACCCCAAAAACAGTTCCTACACACACATTCAAGAGATAGGGTCCACATGATTTTTTTTTCTCTTTCATCGTTCCACTTTCTCTCTTCTCTTGAATGTGTGTGTAGGAACTTTTTTTTGAGTCAAGTAACATGACAAATATAAAACCCAAAATTTATATTACGCAAGGAATCTAAGAAAAAAAAAAGTTTGATTCTTTACTTGCCTGTAATGACTCATTTTAAACTTCTCTGCAGCTGATAGTAACTGTTGAACGTATCTGTTTCTCCCCTCAGCCTTGGAATCCAAAATGTCAGGAAGGAAGGCAACAAAACAGATAGCAGCAGAACCACATTTCTCTTCCATGACATCCTAAAGATAAGGCTTATGTTAATTTTCTTGTATGCTATCTTTCTAACTAATCCACAACCAAGTTGGCAGTTAAGTACACTTACTTGACCAGTCAGCTCAGTTACTTCAGGAGGAGCAACATTCGTTTCCAGCTGCCCTTGAGCAAATGATTCAATAGCTGAGGCTGTTCTAGCACCCTCATAAGGAATCGGGCTCTCTTTGTCGGCACCAAATACCAAGATAGTTGGGAATCCTTGAACATTGAACCTGCTCATTAGAGACTGGTAACAACAATGCAATCAGAAAAATATAAATTGATCTAATTAAGACAGAATTTAAAAGTCTTATGCAGAACTAAGAAAAGGCAAGAATTTAAAAGCTTTCAAAGATACAATTACTTAAGAAACTGAGAACACAACCAACATGGCAAATCTTGGTTAAAAAAAAATAACCAAAATAAAGATAGCGAGGGATCGTTTTGACCAAAACCAGAGGGGAATTTTTGACTAGTTATTGTTAAAGATGTATAACACATAAGCTTACCTTTTCAGCATCACAGTCAACATGACCCAGTTTCACCTTCCCCTTCAAGTTACTGGCAGCTTTCTTCCACTCAGGTGCCAGTTTTTTACAATGCCCACACCTTCAAGAAAAAAAAAAAAAGAGAAAGATGATTAATGCCTGAGCGGGAAATATTATAGTAAGTACAATATGTTCAGTCAATTAATTATTAAAACATAAGAAGACACTGATATACTTCATAAGCACTGTAGAATACACTTACCAAGGTGCGAAAAATTCTACAATCCAAAGTTCTTTGCTTTTGAGAACAAATTCACCACAGTTGCTGGAGTTTAATTCTACTGAAGCACTGGGTTCTGACTTTTTATTCGATTCCCCAGTTGCTTTTCCACTTAAACGTTCTTTCAATAGAGTCTTTATCTGTACATACAAATAAAAAATAAGCATGCAATAGTTTGGAGTAACTTACTGCCTATAATAAAACACAAGAAAGTGCTTAACTGTGAGTGACAAATCACATTAATTAACTGATAAATTACCATGAGAAATCAAGGCAGTAACTCAGAATTTATTTCTTTATTTCAATAAAAAGCCAATTATGACTTTTCACTGGGCACCAACACAAAAAACGTCAATTAAGTTGCAAACCACGAATGACAACACAGCAAGTGAAATGGACACAATCTTTACATCACCTTAGCAGTAAGGCACAAGCCATTATTTTAAATGCACTGATGTGATTGGAAGAAATTGTTTGTTTTAAATAAAACAAGAAATTCATCTACTCTCCCCACGCCCAACATAACTTATGCAACAAAAGCTCTCGTTGACAGCCAGGTTTCACTGTATTTCAGGTAAAAAATATTAAAACACCCCATAAGAGTTTCAAACAAACCTGTTGAAGAGCGAATTCAGCAATTGGTTTGACATCTCTAGCTCCTTGGTAATCAACAGGAGGCTTCCCAGGTGCAAACACCTTTATGGTTGGAAATCCTCTTATCCCATATTCCTATATGGAATTAAGTAAATCACACACACAATTCAATGTTTTTGAAGTTTTCAATATAAAGTTTATAATTAATGAAGAATATAGCACAACGTTTACATCGTAACTGTAGAAGCCTACAAGAGTAAAAGGAAAAGGATAATATGTTTAACCATGCAAACAATAGTAGAGGTTATGTAAGAGAGAAAAAGAATGTTTATACACTGAAAAATTCTTTTAGGGTTGCTCCAAAGAAATATTCTTTTATTTAATCCAGGTTATACAAACAAAGAACAAATGCAAGAGAGATATTGTTTGTTGCTTTATATATAGAAAGTAATGCTTGAAACAAGAAGTGGGGAATCTTTATACATACGACATATTTTGCATGATACGTAGATTCTTTGACCAAATGCAACAATGTCACCAAATGCAACAATGTCTTACAAGCATCCTTATATCTCAAATGGCTGAAATGATGAGATCAATTCATGGTATTAAATTTTTTTTTTGAAAAAAAAACTACCAAGTTCCCAGTGGTTATTCGGGATGTATAGGAAAGTCTATCATGCTTGGTCCAAAAATGGTAATTTTGGTGTACATTTTGTAGAAAATTTAAAAATGTAATATTGCATCTTCATATCCAGGAAAGGTTGATTAACAAGTAAACAACACATACATCATATTCATCATTTCACAGATTTCATATAATATAAAAATGAGGGAATATATCCTCACATATTATCTGAGAGATAGACACAAAGATGTTACATAATGGGGCCCTGCCAAAATTTGAGTCCCTGTATTAATGTCTTCGTATCTATCTCTCTTCACATAAAATGGAGACTAGACTGAAAGGAACAAAAAACAACCTGAGCCAATGACTGGTGAGCATCAGCATCAAGTGCTGCCACAGTAGCTACACCCTTTAAGACAGTAGCTGCCTTCTCCCATGTAGGAGTTAGAGCCTTACAATGACCACACCATGGAGCAAAGAATTCAACAAGAACAACTCCATTTGAATTCAGAACCTGCCGTCATTAGAATAGCAACCATAAATTTTGATGCATTGCAAACTATGTTACGTAAAGAAAAACTACCTTATAAAGGAGATATATACGGAAACAGAAACTAAAAATACTGATATTTTTATATCAGGAAAGAAGAGAATTAGAGAAGTATATTTTTACACATAAAGCATTACAATATGCTATAAAAAAGAAGAGCCTGACCAAAAGCAGAACAGTATATGGCTTGTACTAAACAAAATCAACAATTTACAAAATGAATCTCCGAGAACACGCAACCTAGAACTAATGCTGTAACATGTATATCTCGAAGTGAAAAAACACAACAGGATCAAGTACTTGAACCAGTAGCCAGTAGGAATTAACAGATTTGTTATATTGATAGCACAGAACCAAATTTGCAGTTCCATAAGTTCACCAGCTAAATGCAAAACTGGCAACACCAAGCTCTTACATTGTGATCAAGGTAATTACAAACATCATTATGCAATGTGTTGCATGGATACGGGTACAACTACGGGTAATGGTACAGTGTATGGGCACAGGGGTACGAGAAAAATTCCAAAACTAAGATATGGGTATGGGAGCATATTTCATATATAAATACAAAAACATAAACAACAAAATATTAAAATCATAACGTCAATACATTATTGATAATGTTCTAACTCAAGTAAGCAAAAATAGTCAAAGAAAACACAAGTTTTGAAAGAAGGGAAGTAGCAGTTACTTTGACATGGTAAAAGACCAAAACAACTCAGCAAAAAGCTTGATGTTATGCAGGGACTGATTTGTATCTGAGTGATTAGTGACTATTGGCTACATAAACATGTGTACTCCTAAATTATAAATTATAAATTATAAAAAATGGAAAAAGAAAATCCAACGCAACATAATACTAATATCATAAAAAATATAAGTCTATAAGTCCCAGAACCTAGATTTGCCTTCTAGATAAGATTCAAAATCTCACTAACAAATAAGGCATTTCTTTCTTGGTATCACCAAAAATTAATTCACTTGATAGCATTATAACAATAAAAGAAAAATGCTTAAAAAAAAAAAAAAGCTTGCAGGATCAAAAATACATTATGCCCACATGGTGTTCAAGGAGAAAGATGCTTTTTTTACAATTGTCATTGGAAGAAAAGTTAAGAATACAGTGGATCACAAAGTGGGTCAGGGAATAAAACGTTCAAAATGGACTAAGCTGAAAAATTATGAAATTTGAAATTTGACTATACCTTGGACTTGAAGTTTGATGGATTGAGCTGAACCACTGGTGAGGATGATCCATAAAGTGCATCAGAAGAACCAAAGTTGAAGACGAACAACAATATCGATATAGATACACCAAATGGAGATCCAAATTGAAACCTTCTCATTCTCTCACTCTCTCTCTCTCTCTCTCAAACTTGGTACTCAGAAAGAAACTTCTCGATGCAGAAAACACAATACTCCCCGCGCCAGAGTTCTTTTTGGCTTCGTTGGGGAACATAGGAGCTTGGTAGAGCTACGTGCCTCAACCAATCATAAATTTCCACGTCAGCTTGTTGAGAGTGCTTGTAATGACGTATTTTAAGAAAATGAATCATAAATTTCCACGTCAACCAATCATAAATTTAATTGGATTTATGTGTGGAGATTTGGCAAGTTAATCCATTTAAAGTAAGTGTACAAGTTATTTCTGAATTTATAAAATTTGAACTAATGTAGTCTTCTTCTTTTTATTTTATTTTTCTCTCCACTTTTGAGAGTTTTTTTTTACTCCTCTCCTTTTTTTTAATTAATAAATTTAAAAATAAAATAAAATTTATTTGATGATTATATAAAGTTGTTATGGTAGTTTGGAAGGAGGGAAGATAAAATAACTTATTATTATAATAAATTATAAAAATTTATAACTACAAGTTAGAATATGGGTAATAATGTAAAATAAATCAAAAGTCAAAAAAGTTGATATATATCTTTAAAAAAAGTTCCTTTTGAAAGTTTTTAGTTTTTTTTATTATAAAAAACTGTTCTTTATATAATACAAACTTTTATAAAACTTCTTGTTGTAAGGAATAGAGAAACTAAATAAAAAAGACCTTCCAAACATGCAATAAGAAGGATTAAGTTGATACGAATTTTGTAATTTGAAGGGTTAATTTGTATTTGTAACTATATTCAAGACTAAATTGAAAACTGAAAATAATTTTAACGACTAAATTGTGAATTTGTTTAATTTAAGTCAATTTGATTTAATTTTAATTTTAATTTTAATTGTTAGTATTCAATTATTCATATTTTTGCCTTTGTCATGTACTTCATTTATATTATTTTAAGTAAGAATGTTAATTAATGATATAAATCAATTTAATTTATCTTTGATGTGATCCAGTCATATAATTTGATTATAAATTAATTCAAATATTATTTATTATGTATAATGAATAGCTAACATAAGCATTGATTTCTAAATCAAATAAATTCAATTTGATACAAATCAAATAATATTTAATTTGCTAACACAAACGCTATGTTTGTAAGGTCCCTCGCATAACATTGAAATTAAAAAAAAAATAAAAAAAATCCAACTTTTATTGAAACAAAAATTCATACTTGCACTCATATGGCCATAGGATATATCTAATGTCAAATTGTCAATAGTGGGAGTTGGCCCATGCGATCGACCAACTCTTCTATATGATTAGTGGGGAAAAAAATAATAAGTTAATAGAGCATTCACCTCCCTAATTAAAATATATTATTTTGTTTTTTATTATTATAATATCTAAAATATATAGTTAGTAGTTTATTACTAATTAACTGTAACAACAACTTACAAATTATATCACCCATGCAACTCATGAGTCCATTAGAAACATGGTTTACAGTTTATCAAAAAAAAAAAAAAAAAGCATGGTTTACAAAGAAGTCTTCCAAAATTTAAGTTGTTAACATTTTATTTAGTAATATAAAAGTTTTGATGGAATATTATAAAAATATTAGAGATAGTAATATTCATGAAGCTTAATAACTTACAATGTAAAAGAATTTTAATTTGATAGACCTAGTGACCTACAGCAAATTCTGATCGAGTATTTAGTTTGAATTAATAATCCTTTTAATTAGCATTTTTATGTTCGTAGGTTTTGCTAACATATTTATTTAATGGAAAAACGTTGTCTTAAATGAAACGATTAGAAAAAACACACATGATTATTTTTCATTTTTTCTTTTAAATTTAAAATTCTAATTCTTTTGAATTAATTATATGTATCTTCTTTACAATTTCAAATATTTTTGCACCTATACCTTATATATTTTAATTGAAATAATTATGCATCGTTTATGATTTTAAAATTTTTATTTTTAAATGTTTTTCTCTTTTAGTTCATTTTTATATTTTATCTAAATTTAAAAATAATCCTAAAATCCATGAAATGTTTACTAACATATTGGATATATTTATTCTTAATCGATGTATTTGGTTGTTTTAATTTTTTTATGCTGGCAATGGTTTTAAGGTAGCAACCAAGAAATAATTAAAATAATTCGTACAATTATTTATTTTATAAAATATTTTATGATATTAATTACAGAAAAATATTTTTGCAATTACTGCAGATAATTTATCTGCATTTACTTTCAAAACGACGTCGTTTTGGTGTTGAAATATTAAAAAATTATAATTATAAAGACTATTATAATCCTGAAATAAATTAAAATTACAAAAACACCTTAATTTCTGTCTCAAAGCGATGTCGTTTTGGGCTCAATGATAACTTATCTGTATTTACTACAAAAAAAAAAACAAACCCTATTAATTAACTACAATTATTGTTCACTATATTATGTAATTGTTATTTTGCTACTTCGCTAAATTTACGATTTTGAAATACCAACTACGTTTAACGTTATAAAATTGTTATAATTTTCATTAGTCATTTTAAAATTGTTCCATAGTGAATCCATAATAAATGAAAAACAATCTATATATATATATATATATATAAAACCTGAACATGACCATGATCAATACCAATGTTATTAAACTCAACCCAGTTATTGATCCGATCGAAGTACTAGATTAGTAAATCACTGGTTCAACCAGTGAATCACTGATTAAACCGTATGACTCGGTTTATTTTAATTCATTTTTTACACAATCCGTGCTTAATTTAATTCAAATTTATCGTCATAAATAAAAAATATGTATGTCGTGCATAAAAAGGGTAGAGTGACTCATATATTATAAGTAGATAGATAAACACCCCTATGGAAGGAGAAGTTTGCTTGGTTGTGATTTGTTCTCTGATTCATTATAACTAGAATTGTAAAAATCAATTTAACCCAAAAAAATTAAACTATCAAGTGAATATCACATGGTTTAAGAAATTTTTGACATTGAAGTGGGGACTATCCACATAAGCTCACCATAGCAAGAGCCTTTTTAATGATCGAAACATGGATCATAGCCTCTGTTGTTATATAATGAATCAAATTCAACCATAAAGTTAAACCATTAATTAAAGTCAAATTAACAATTTTATGTATTATATCTCTAAAAATTAGAGCTTTCCTTGCTGTAGCGCAGGCCTATTGTCAACCTCAACCCAAGGAATACTTTAAAAGACAGTAGGATATTTCTAAACCTGACACTGCAAAAACATACAAAAGAAATTAATTGCCAAGATCATTCTTATGAGAGAAACGACAGACCTTAAAACATCAGTTGGAATCATAAGCATTGTATCACCAAATGGAGGAACGGATATCTGGGGATAAACCCTAAAGCCAGAGTTACAACTTATTTACAAGATCACAATTCCTAAATATGTATGAGTTATAAAAAGAAAAAGAATACCAGTGCATTCTACAGACCCAGAAAAAAGAAAAAGAAAATAAAAAATAAGGAAGATAGCAGAATGTACAAAGGCCTCAGAATTTTCTTTTACTCAAATCTTATTGTATACACAATCTTACATTGAATCATCTTTTAACTACTATAGTCAATAGTCAACTCCAACATAATATGGTACATGCAGGCACTTCAACACTCCATCCTAGGCTTTAATTTTGTTGGGGGAAAAAAATACATTCTATAGACTGAAACCTACCAAGGTTGCTTCGGTGCTCCATCCAAACCATTTTGAATAGGAAAAGGTCCTGCAGTCCAAAATTCCCTATTCTTGTTTTGGGCAAACAACTTGCTTCTGTCATCATCATCCTCAGCCTCAAAATCCAACTCTTCAAATATATCCTCAAAACCATCGTCATAACCATCTTTAAAATTATCAATCTCAATATTATCATCATCATATTCAACATCGCTATCATCTTCATTAGTATCACTCAACCTGCCAACATCTTTACCAGTCCTACCCTTCCTTCTCTCCCGTCTCATTCTCTTGGATTCCCTAGCCAAGTCCATCCATTGATCTTGTAAGACTAAAACCTCATCATTCTCCAATAAGTCACCCTTATCGTCAAACTTCTCTACCAAGAAAACTGAATCCCTATGCCCTTTCAAACTCACATAAAATAATTCTGGGTGCCTTACTATCATCCCTCTCAACTTGTTTGAGAGGCCAAACTCCTTTCTGAAATGGGTCAAGTGGTCAATTAAAGTCCTCTTTTCAATTGTCATTCCAAGAACCTCTCGTACTAGAGCACAAGATCTCTTTTCTGCCTCCATCGATTCCTTGGCCAAAGTCTCAGCAGGGTTCCTATAGGGGCACACTTCTGGCATTTCTTCAAACTTTAGCAAGAAATCCTGGTGATATCTCTTTAAATTAAGCCCCTTTCGTAGTCTTAATTGCTTGAACTTCAAAGGGCGGTCAACTATTAAATCAACAGAATGGAGTGGAGGAGGAGGCAAAGGCTTTGCCAAGTTGAAGTCCCACGATACAAGCTCAAGTGCACGGCCATAGGAAGTATCAACGATTTTGAATTTGTCAGGATGGTCATTGCACAACCGCGATCTAAAACTAGGAGGGAGGCCAAGATCTGGAGCAAGGTGAACCAATTTTGACAGAACTAACCGGTGGTGAGAAGATAACATAAGAAGTTTTTGGAGTTTGGTTGCCAACATAGTGGAAATGGAAGATTGAAGATTCAATTCCTTAGCAGCAAGGGCAGCTGCAACTGGAGTTAAACGAACACAGAGTTGAGGATATAACTTTGTTGCATTAAGTGGTGTGGGTGGCCATGGCATAGTGAAGAGTTCAAAAATGGACGGATACCGATGGATCATAGCAAGTATGGAACGAGGCTTGGAAAGAGAAAGATAAGACCGACACTTTGAGAGAATGTGAAGTGGAAGATAATGTTTCGGCTTAGAGAGAAGTAAAGTTTTCAGCTTTTGAACAAACCGAATTCTATTCCTCATGACAACATGCCTGTCAAGAGTACGGTCCCGTACAAGTTTGAGAGAGGAACAAGAAATTGAGACAGACACATTGTTGAGGTAGTTATGGGTTTTTGGTTTTCTTTTGATAGAAAAAGACAATTGTGTTGTCCCAGGAAGAAAGCTGGAACTTAGGGAAGTGACTGGTCTGTGATTGCTTAATGAGAAAGGAAGGCACAATGCCATTTTTTAAGGCTTCAACCAATCACATACTCAACCTGAAAATGAAAAAGAACAAAAACTAAGAGAAAAATGAGATAGAACACCAAGGTCTCACTGAATTAATTTACATGACATAGAATGTTGGATTCCTATCAAGTTGGTTTCCTGACACAATACACAGCATGTTTAAATAGAAGGAAATTTGTTTCTATTTTATAAGAATTTCACCATATAAACACCCCAGAATTTCACTATATAAACACCCTAAAATCAGAATTTCACAATACAAACACCCTAAAATCAGAATTTCACTATTAAAATGCAGAATTACAGTAATAGGAAGGATAAATTAGGACATTGGCAACCTTCGTGTATTATGTTATGAGCATAACCAGTCAACTCTGTATTTTAAAAGAGAAGTTTCTGCTTTTAAGGTTTTTCTTAACTGAAACTCTTATAAATATAGAGACAAATTTCTTTACGATCAAATATGCTTCTGAATAATTGAGCCAAGAAATTTGCTATTAGAGATTGAACATGACATTTCAAGTAGTAACCCCATTCATTAATCCCTTGTACATTCAATTATTCCTTTAATAATATCAGGATTATCAAGAAGATATAGTTGAACAAATCAACACATATACATCATCACCATTTGAGTAATTAAAGAAACAAACTAATACATTCACATTAGATATTCTAGTCATGAAGACATCAAATATGCACCAAAGATTCACAGAAAACTAAACCAGCCAGGCAGCATTTGATATCATAATAAATTAAAATCAAACATTCCATTAACACTCTGACTTGCCATGTCAACAATAAATTCATTCCTATAACAAATCCAGTTTATTTTAGCTTAACATATATCTAAACACAATGGGTCTAACCCACCACTTTATTTTTATTTTACATAAATATCTCAACAACAACAACAAGAAAAACATCACCTTTATCCACACACAAGTTGTAAACCCCTAACTGATGTTATGTCCAAGACACACAAGCTGCCCAATCCTTAAATCGCATATTAGTATTACAAGCTGAGACTCAAACAGACATTTAATCAAACGGGTAATATGCACTAATCCTTAAATCGAAGCACAAGTAAATAACAAGTAATCATCAAGCTCGGTGAAATCATACTCAAAAGAGAAAAACAAAATTAAAAAAAAAAAAAAAAAAAGGAAATACGAGGAACGTGATTAGATACCACATACTACCATTCGGCAACAAAAGGAATCCTATTCATTCAGAGCTGGTTAGCGCGAGGGGTGTTTCAGTATTTGTCTGGATTTTTTTTATGGATTGCTTTTTATAATTGATATCTTTTTTTTGTTTGCTCACTTGCCGCATATAAGTTATGGGTTTTATAATTATCAATATTGAAGGAGAATTGAAATTTTATGTTGTAGAGATAAAAAATACGTGGAAATCATGTATTAGAAAAAATTATATGCAGGACCCATGTCAGTACAAAAATCGAAGGGTATGTAGGAAAATTATAATTCTCATGTCAAATGAGAATTATAAAACTCATAAGTTATATGCACTAAGTCCAATACTACACGTTATTTTGGACGAAAATCATAATATTTTTGTAATTTTAATTTATTTCAGAGTTATAATAGTCTTTATATTTATAATTTTTTTAAATTTTAATACCAAAACAACGTCATTTTAGAAAATAAATGCAGATAACTTATCTACATTAACTGCAGAAACATTTTTCCCAGAGAGATTATTTTTTTTTTTGAAAGTAAAGGAATAATTATACTTCACCCCCATTTATTCATGAAATTATATATGCACCCTCTATTTATTGAGTATAGCCACACTATTTTTAACGGGAATGGATTTTACCAGGTGAAAAAATAATTATAATTTTTATGAAAAAATAATTGTATAATTATGTTATTTAATCATAACTATTTGATGAAATAAGAGAGAGAAATATATAAACATATAATTATAATTTTTAAATGAGTGATTATGATCAAATAACCATGGTTGTTAAAATCTCAATTTATTACTACGATTTTACATTTTTATGATTTTTTTCATCAAAACGATTTTATCAATATTCCAAACGCTTTTATGTTTTTACGATTTTTTTACATTACCATTTTATGTTTTGCAATATTTAGCCCCTTCCGATTTTATTTAAAATCTCAATTTTAATAACCTTACAAATAATATGATGACATGATCACTTTTTTTAGATAAAAGAATCCAAAATCATTATTCACGAAGGTTTAGGACACAGGATGTGGATTTTTTGCAAACACACGTGGGACCCACTGTTTTAATAAAATAAAATAAAAAACCCAACACGTTTTTTATGAGTCAGCGAGACCTGATTTTTGTTTTCTACAACATAACAATTTCATTTCCCTTATTTATGATATCTACTTGTTTAAATAACTAATTAATTGGTGAACTTTGCATGTGCAGAATACACGAATCTTAAGACTAAATACCTTTTCAAATATCCAAAACGGTAATGATCAAATTATGTAATACATTAGATGTATTTATTTATTTTTTTGGTAAAATACATTAGATGGATTTAACTCAACAACCAGTGTAACCCCGATTTTGATATTATAGTACTATTTTCACATTTACATCAAAATTAAGTATGGTGACAAATAGGGGTGTAAATGAGCTAGGCCGGTCTAGAGGGGCTTACGGTCTAGTCTATATTAGGTCAAGCTTGGCCTATTATAAGTAGTAAAATAGAATAGGCCTAGGCTTTTAAAAAATTTATTTAGAAAACAGACCATATGTTTTTTTGTACATGTCGGGCTTATAAGCCTATAGGCCGGCCTATATCATATTATTTATTTAAAATATAATAAATAAAATAATTATTTAATAATTTTGAATAATAAAATAATATTATTATTATTTTGGAGGTTACAAGGAATTGAACACAACCCTACACTACACACACTCCTAACACACACATCCCGCTAACCCTAGTGGTTTAAAAATAAAATAATATTATTTTAGTTATTCATTTAATTGTTGAATGTTTAATAGGCTTAAACAGGCTAACAAGCCTAGGCCAAGGCTTTTATTTTTTGAATATAGATTAGGCCAGACTTGTAATTTGGAGCCTACACAGGCTAATAGGCCAGGCCATACCCAATGTTTTTCACACTGGCTTGACCTATTTAAGCCAAAATTTAGCCTAGTCCAGCTCATTTACACCCTAGTGACAAATTATGTTGAACTAAAGTCTAATTATAATTATATATACTTAGGAACTTCGAGCACCAATATAAAGTATTCCATCCAACATCATCTTGTGTGTCATTAAACCTTCTTTTCTAAAAATGTTAGAAATTTTAACAATACAAAAATGAGAATAATTAACCAATAACTTTAAATGTTTGAACTATAACCTCATCCATATTTAAGGGTGGACATAGTTTGACCCAATTTTTTGATGAATTTCGAACTGAACATATTTAAATCAGTTTGGTTCAAAGAATAAATTATTTTATTTTATCCGAATTGATTTTATCTTTTCTAAACCAATTTGAAACCTATTCACCGATTCAAAACTAGCTCATCATTTAATATCAGTTTATGATTTATAATTGGTTCAGAATTAATTTGGGTATGTGAATCAGTTCTTAACCATTTTAGAACTAGAATTGACTGTTTGAACTAAAACAAATCAGTTCGATTCTTCTGATTTTCCAAATCAATTCGTTTGGTTCGGTTCAATTTTTAAACCGATTTATAAAATCAATTTGGTTCTCAAAATTGCTTTAGAAAAAATGCAGTTCAATTCGGTTCAGTTATTTTTCACAACCCTATGTATAAGTATAGAAAAAGTGAAAAACAACCTTTTTATTCCTTAACTTAAAATTTGTCCATATAATAAAACCATACATATAGTGCATGCAAAATTGTAAGGGAAAAATATTTTTGCTTTTGTTGTAAAAAAAAAAAAAAAATTGTGACTCACATAGAAGTGAATAGATCCAACTAATATTTTTTCTCTCTTCTTTGGAACTCATTGCTTGTGTGTGTATACTTTTATAAAATCATATCATGCATGATTTTTCCTTACTTTGTACTAGCATATTTTTCATCAATATCATAGGCTTTCTTACATTAATCTCATGCACAATATCACATATTCTTATCTCCAAAGTGCTTCACATGCTATATCATGCAATTTCTCCTAATCATACATACATTGCCCTGCATAGTTTTACCTCATAACACTAATTCATAACACAAAGCTTCACTTGTTTACTTTTAGGCTAAGATTCTTTTTAAAAAAATATGATACAAGTTTCATTACATTCATAAGAGTACAACAAATCATTTAAGAACCAAAATGGCATTGAGCGCTATTTTTCTGGTGCTTGAGTGCCCAATGCCCTATTCCAGCTCTAAGTCATGCCAGTGCTTGATTATTGGCCATACAATATAGCAACACCTAATTTTCCTTCCGTGTTTCAAGGCAATTCATCACTGATAGTACTGGTGCATTCTTTTCATACTCAGTTCACATCTTATTTTAATCATCATGCAACATTTCTAAGTTCAATGCATCATATGTTGGATCGAGTGTTTTATCACTAGGCCCAAAGTTATAAAGTTAGTCAGGGATAACTCCTTCTATTTACCCTTACCAGCACAAGTATCATAGTTCGATCTGACTCCGACCCATACCAGGCCTTACTAAGCCAAGATATTGGCCTCACTAAAATCATCAACTCCATACTCATAAGTCAATGAATTCAAGATTATTCTAAGAAATCCTCAATCAGGTTGGTGGTCTTCTTTGACCTTGCAGGGACGTCCTCCAATCTAAATTTTTTAATGACAAAACACATAGAAAAGAGACTGAACAAACGAATTGAGATAGATAAAAGAGAAACCCTTGGTTATTAATTTCAATAATCAATATTGTTGATATATTAGCGAGCGAGTCAGCTAGACTCTAGGATTTGATTTGCCTAAAGACTGTGTGATTTGATTCTTAAGAGTCGCAACTCATAGAGAGGTTGGAGAGATACAAACCTGAAATCAATTAGTGGAGTCCATTAGGACTTCGGACGCTGGTTGGTATCTACCAAAAAAATAACGAAATAATTAAAATATAATCAACCTAATAATTAAAGATTAAAAAAAGAAATTAAATTACTTTTCAGATCTAAGTAATGTAAGCCAGAAAATATCAAGAAAATATCATTTTAAGAGCACTCACACTTACCACGAGAGTTGCTAAAAAAATCTTTCCTTGTAACGAGGTCTTTTAACCATCTATAATGAATTTCTGTTCAAGAAATCTTTTATCTCTTCACAAGCAAGTCATCAATATCCAACATAAACATGCAACCAAAACTTCAATTCAACTCCACAATTTCTCTCCAACTACACAAAGTTCCTAAAGAGCTAGTTTGCTTCTGAGATTGAAATCCTCAAATAACTCAAGAAAAATAGATTAGAACATCATAAGCGCTTATTGATCGTGTTTTTGTTCATTACAACACGAGGCTGCTTCAAAGATATTATTATTATTATTATTATTATAAACACAAATTATATACCCAAGTATTTTTTTATGTTGATATATGAGTAAATTAATAAACTTAAGAATAAATTGAGGCATTGAAAATTATGAATCCATTAACTTGGAAGCATTTAAGGACCATTCTATTTAGATATTGAAGGTGCCACCATCTTACTTAACTATTGCAGAGGTAGGAGTCATACTTAATGACCTTGCAAGTGTTTCTATTTAACCAACTCTAGATGATATTAGTATATTTTTTTATTGCATTATGATTATAATTTCATTGTTTGATACTTAGTATTAATTGACCTTTTATGGAAAATGACAGGGTCGTAAATCATTTAAGTTTGGATGAAGACAATGATGATGCACAAGACAATAGCATAAAAATGTGAACCAAAATGAGAGCAATGTTGGTCAAGATTTAAATTTATTTGATTAAGAAAGAAGGTCTGAATTTGACTAAACTTTAACTCTTCGGCATAAGTGCATGACTTTGTAATGCAGTTATAGTTGTGTTGTGAGCCTGTGTTGTAAAATTAAGTACAACTGGATATGTTTGAACTGAATGACCAACTCCCTACGGAACCAAGATTTAATCCTTGAAGTCAAATAATAGCTATGTAATTAGAATCTGGAAAGTAAATATTCTTTCCAGATTCTACATATTTTAGAATCTGGAAAGAATATGTTTTAGAGCAAAAGGTTTGCATGTTTTAGAGCAGCCGCTCAGGAAATTGTTGGTCTCTACAATCTACATAATATGAGATCAACTCCGAATTTTAGACATCAAGTAATTTTCTTCCTTTGTTTTTGGGGTCTAGCCCCTCCTTACCTGTTAACAAAATAGTATATTCAATTTTATATAAATAAATAACGAAATTAAAATTAAAATTTATTTCATACACAATGTGCTTGTTTACTCAAATTATAGAGATATATGTTTAAAATTTAGACTCGGTGAAGCATTTAGCCTCATTATATATATATATATATATATATATATATATATATATATATATATATATATATATATCGAAAACACCAGCTTGCATATCTCTGTTTTCTATGATTTTGTATTTTTTTTTCTGGCAGTGAAGTTATGAAATTAATCCATAGTCAAAAAATGATGATTATGCAATGAGTGATGTTTAAATTTCACATGAACTTGTCATATGCAAATTATGAGTTCATCTCTCTCCTTACAAGCATTATAAATGGGAGCGATCAACATTAATGAATATATATATGAAAAAAAATGATATAGACACTCAAATTGCATGTGAAAAGATCATGCGAAATTTACACATTCTATGAGTAATACCTACAGGATTCAAACCCTGATATCATAGTTAATGTTTGTCAAGAATAATATTTTGCTTTCACTATACATATTTTTATTAGTAGATGAAGACTTAACAAGGATTTCAATTTTTTCCCCTTCCATACATTGTTAGGGTAGGAGATAATTTTCTTTAAGGACACAAATTATTCATACCTACATGTACTTTTTTCCGGGCTAAAATTTATAACATTGCTAAAATTCTTCAATCATTAATCTTAAACCATATGAGTAGCCTATTATCACTAAAAAGATATCATGTCTAAGTTCAGGGTGTTTGATCAGTTTGGGACTTTTTTGCTTTAAATTTACGAATTTGGTATGTGCACGGGAGTAATTACGATTTGGGGTCTTTAAGTGCCGCGGAGGGGACCCAGTGTATCTAAATGACGCCCCCGGGTCCCCGCGGCACTCATGTAACTTGATTTTTTTCCTCTGCTAACTCAGTGTCGCCCCCACCCCCCATCGGCATTCAATAAATAATATTTTTACTTGAATAAGTGCCGCAGGTAGCCCCTATCGACACTAATTTTCATTTTTTTTATTAAAAGTTCTGCCCACCCCCCCCACCCCCCAAACGGCATTCATATAGTTTTACTGTTCTCTCGCTTTCATTGTTTCCAGATCTTACAGCCTCACATTTGTATCAAGTGATAACCATTTCATATCCGAGTTTGTGGATGAGAACATCTGCAAATTAAATTGTAAATTTGTAGTCATTTTTCTAACAGGCTTGTTGAGTCAGAGCATATTATTAGAAACATGAAGGATTGAAGAATGTACCGAAGCTAAACTAATTTACATCTTCGTATTTCTTCTCGACAACACCATTGTTTTCAGTTCCATAAATCGACAGTTTAATTTCACAAGAGATTCGTTGTTTTAAGCAGGAAAGGAACCCTAGTGGTTTAATAACAATGAGGACAAACAGAGAAACAAAAGGGAAGGGAAGAAGAGGAGCAAACAAATACCCCAGAATAAGAGAGAAGAGCAGAGAAGGAGCAAACAAATGCCCCAGAATAAGCCACCAAAAACCCAGCTCCAGCGTCCATTGCTCATTAGTGTGTGATTCTTACTATCAACATGCTCACATGAGAGTCTCACCTCCAAGGCTCCATCTTGGAATTGATGTTGATTCCTTGACGCATGAGCAGGCTATTACCATTGTTGCTTCACTTGTAGGTGATGTTGGTTGAATCGTGGCCTTGAGTTTTTTAAATTGGGGAGTGGCCTCAGCACCCTACAGAAGCCCCACAACGAAGACCATGAAGAACATTGCTCTGCTAAAGTTACTGTTAACGTGTGCCGAGGGAGGGGCTGGGCGGAACTTTTAATAAAAAAAAAATTGAAAATTAGTGCCGATGGGAGCTATGTGCGGCACTTATTCAAGTACTATTTATTGAATGCCGATGGGGGTGGGGGCGGCACTGAATTAGCAGAGGAAAAAAAAATCAAGTTACATGAGTGTCGCGGGGACTCGGGGGCGTCATTTAGATACGCTGGGTCCTCCCCGCGGCACTTAAAGACCCCAAATCGTAATTATTCTCATCCACGTACCAAATTCGTAAATTTAAAGCAAAAAAGTCCCAAACTGGTCAAACACCCTCTAAGTTCATGCATTGTGCATATTCATAATTCTATTAATTGATAAATAAAATAAAATAATGAGTTAAAATGATCCAAATAAGAGCAGGCTTGACATCAGAGAATCACTTTCTTAAAAATACAAGATGAGGACAGGATATAACTGTTTCGTAAACAAGCAATATATAAGCATAAAAGCTAGAAAAGGTAATTTGAAACAAGCTCAACCCCAAAATGATTGATGCCCCATAATGACAAATCATATCAGTAACAAAATTTGGAGTTGGTCTATTTTGCATGTATCCTAGCTAGCTGTACAGCCAATAGATATTTACACTTTTATTTACCAATCCAAACGTATTTACTAGAAGCTGTCACCATTCTACACCTCAACAGAAGAACATGCTACTCCTGACACTCTTAGGCAACCTTGGAAGCTCTGGTATGGGAACGTTTCCCTCTGAAGTAAGACTTGAAGATGTTTCTGATAAATCATCAAAATTCAAAAATTGCCCCATTTGAGCTGCAGCAAGGTGAGCATAGCAAATAGGTGCCACTGCAGAAGAAGAATGAATGGGGAAATAATTATAAAACAGAAATTAACCATGTTTTTCATGCAAAAGACAATTCTGATAAAGTTATTTTCTAGAGGCGCAGAGAATAGCATAAGCGTGAAATTACCAATTGAGGTTGCAGTTGTGCTCCTTTGGTTCCTGAAATAAGTAAAAAAAAATAACACTAAGCAGGACAATTTGGGGACAGGTAAAACAAGCTATAGACAATAGGAGGTGGAATGCATACACATAACATAACGAATGGATCATATTTTGCAAGCCATCTGCGGAGAAACCAATCTCATCAAGCAACACATGATAATGCACAGGCCTAGATGTTCCCTGTTAATTAGAGAGAAAAAGGGAAACAAAATGGTACATGAAATATTTCACTGATACCATATGCTACTAAAATGCTTGTAAAATGAATATATATATATATATATATATATATATATATATATATATATATGCAAAAATGAAGGTTGAAGAAGCTACATAGGTAAACTTACAATGATCCCTGCATGAGAACACATGTAGAAATCATAATTTCTTGGATGCACAATTTTTGTGTCAACGACCGTCCCTGAAGAGTAAAATATTATTTTACAGTGGTCCTGAGTAATACCTGTACATTAAACAGGACAAGATAAGTAGCATACCTGGAGGAACATTTTTCATATCATTATCTAGAAACAGCTTCGTATGATGATTCTTCTGTGCCACAATTACAGTGAACTTGGGAACATTAACCTCCCCAAGATGTTGATAGGCCTATAATTAGAAAAGTTTATCATCATTGTAGAATTAGGAACCATCAACAAAAGGGTATCATCTAATCGGATGTGTGTTTTGATAGTTTTTTTTTTTTTTTTGTAAATTTTGGATTGGATTATTGTTTTAAGAAAAGCTTGTAATAAAAAAATGCTCCATAAAGAGCTTTTAGCTGCTTTTTTTAACTGCAAAATAAATCAATACATGCACTTGGAACATGTAACTAAATATAAAGATTCTGGCAACCAATCATTTAATTTCTTACAACCCATATTATAGGAGTCAGGTAGTTAGTTAGTTGGGTGGTTAGGTTGTTACGAGAAATTAGCCCCTCAACTACACAAGGGGGGTATTCTTTCCGTCATAACCATCTTTAAGGGGTTGTATTGTAGAATTGACCGAGAAGTCTCAGCATGAAGGGGAGTGTCCCTTGAGAAGAGTTTGCCCTTGAATTCTGTTCTTGTACTTTCCTATTTCTTTCATTTTCCCCGTTACCACATTTCTGTAATTCTTACCTTAAAATAATCCAGATCCGTAACACAATCTTAAAATATGAAAGGGTTGCATAGTAACCTTTATTATCTGGTTAAGCTCAATATTCAAAACCTGTTCAAATTGCGATTCACTAACTCCATCCCTGAACATGAAAACACGGTTCAGAAAGTGAATAAGGATGTTAACGTTGATAAAGGAAATTGAGACAACCAAAAGCCAGTCTGTATCTCAAAAATATTAAACATTATAAGTACTCATCAAAAACTGGCACACTTCATGGTTCATACTAATATTCAGATATAATTCTTCAGATACAGGGAACTGAAGATTTATTAAATTAGACAAGATTGAATTACATAACAAATGTGGTTGTCATGAAAATATTCCAATTAGACATTTGGTCAAAAGCCATAGAACCAGAGGCAAACATATAAACCTCGTTAAGGCAAAGTGAATCCTGGATTCACTACATTGCATTTATACAAAAGGAGTTACTTTAGAAAAATAAGAAAATAGCCAGTGTATACTTATACAATCCTGCAGACAAAAGAACAACTGGCAGAGATACATAAGTACTAGAAGCATGACAAGATATTAAAAAAGGGCAAACTGGAGCAGGGTTTAGGGAAGGTTAGACCCATTGTATGGGTCCATATGGGCAGTTATACCTAGTATTTGCAAATGATGATTACATGGTTCGATTAAGGAAAGGTTAGACCCATTGTATGGGTCACATGGCGACACGACTACACTAACCTTTGTGCCAATGCTCCCCTTCATGACAAGATATTAAATTTGGAATATGTAAGGAAAAATGATCCATCTCAGAATTAACCCAACAATGCTAATGGTCTCAAATTAAAATAAGTCAAGAGTAGAAAACATGTAATTATTTCCTCATAATAAATATAAGTAGTTATGCAAGGATAAGGCTGCGTACAAATATTTCCTCAACCCCACACTCACTAGTCGAGTTTAACGCGGAGTGGTTTTAATAAATATAAGTAGTGCATCATACATTAATGATTTAAGGATATTATAACAGGCACTATCAGCACCTTCCAGCTTATGACATTTTACCTACAAACAGCACCTGAAGAGCATATATTACTGTATATCTATCAAATGTAAAGTGGTAGAATGACACCTGAAGACAATAATTTGATCTGGTTTGCATCCATTACTTGAATCATAGAAATCTAGAAGCAATTCTCTGCAATGAAATGTAATCCAAATCTTAAACGGCATGATGAATTTGATGTCCCCATATGTGTGCAACTTGCAAGCAACAAAAAATAAAGAAAAATAATGTCATCTTTTTACATCTTGCACATGAAATTGTGAAACATAAAATAAAATAATGTGCATAATTGTTTGATAGAAGTATAATATAAAATCATTCATGAGTCTTCAGCTAGTAGTTTAAACTTTTGGGAGAGTTGATTCATGAAATTCACGGTATTTTTATGCATTTTTCCCTAATAAATGCAAAACATTTATAATCCCATATACTTTTTTACTCGAACCTGATAATACCATCATCATTTCCATTATCCAAAGGCTTGTATAGAGCATCAATCATCTCCACTTTAGATGACTGTGTTCTCACGGATGCTCTATACCTTGAAATCAGTGGCCAACATCGAGATCCAACAACCTAAAATCCAACATTGTACACCAGAAAAATATGTTAAGGGATAACAAAAAACCCAAACAGAATGTGTACAAGTAAAATATAGCTTTTCCTTTTTTGTTACCACAACAACAAAGAGGGCGAGTTTCGATTAGTGGTAAAGTTACTCCTTTGTAACTGAAAGGTCACATGTTCGAATCTAGAAAACAGCTTCTTTGTAAATATGCAAGGGTAAAGAAGCTTACAAAGATTTCCCTCACCCCTACCCATGCTAGTCGGGGTCTAATGGGGAGTATTTTTTTTTAACAAAGAAGATTGGGGAAAAAAACAACAAAAATAGCCTTACCGCTGCTATTGATGGAATATCTGACCGACCAGGGGAACCGTGAGAGACATCCATCCCCAAAATCATTGTTGCAACATCTTTAATCGGGGGAAGATGCCCAGAATGCTCCATTTTCAGCAAAGAATTTATTCCTCCAAGCTATATAGAGGACCAACATACAAAATTATTAAAACTATGCATAATGTTATTAATGCAGAATAAGTTACATTTTTATATATATCATGGTCATAAAGTAGTCTTTTACCTTAGAATTGATTTTAAGAAGTACATTAGTAAGGTATTGATCAGTGATCTTGAGAGGGGCGATGCACTGTGTGACAACACCAAATTCACTCAGACACTTCTTTTTCCAGGGCCCTAAAATTTGACACAGGAGCATGAGGTGAATAAAAAAACCAATGTAAAGGAAAACCTGGAAAAATTGCTACAAGGCATACCATAAATGTCACAGTGCTTCCTCTCTGGCAGGACACAGAGAATAAGCTCTGGTTCTTTGTTAAGCCTTGATTTAAGCAGCTCAAACATTTTTTCAACCCTTGCAATAGGGTTAGATTTTCTGTAAGTCGATTCTTCCTCTATTAACGAGTATGGTCGTCCAATGTTCTGTGTAAATATTCAAGTACATGTGACAAAGAAGTAATCAAATAAAGAATAAGATAGCAGATCAATATAGTATGACACATTAGAATAACGTATGGTGACATACTATGCCCTTGCTCATTCCACATTTAATCAGCTCCCTTGATATGTAACTAGTATCCCAACGAGCAGAAAAGTTGACAACAGCCCAGACATTAATATGTGATGGTTTAAGAAGTGTCTACAAAAAAGGAAATATAGCATCATCAATTATTAAATTAGCCAATCAAATTAGATAACTCTAAAAACAGGCAGTCTTAAACACTTTCTTTTTGAATGTGCAAGAATATTGCAATACCTTTTTATTAAAGTTCCACCTTCCGCTATAGGGGAGGCAGTCTTCATTCTTACCAACCATCAACTGTGTGTCTCAAATAGAATTGTCTTAGACAATGCATTTAGTTTTCAAAATTAATTAAAGGAAACCAAATACTTGATACCACTTTCTCTTTTATCTCTCCCCCACTATCTCAACTGTGTACACAAAAATGAGACCTATATTGTAGGTCAATGCTTACCTTTGGTGCCTCAAGAACTCGACCTTCAACCTGAGTCAATTGTTTCTCAATAGAAATGCCACATGCAGCAAGAATAGGATCATCATGGTTGCAATAATTTCCTACAGCCTATAAATTTTAGTGAGCGTCAAAAAGTATTATTAATAAAAACAGAAACAACATATCAATAACTACAAACTAACATTCATCAGAATTTTAATTCTTTCTTGAGGCTTTTGGCGTGATTTTTCTACTAAAGATGCTCTTTGCGTTGGAGATAATGCCTTTGTATACCGCTGGAGGGAAACAAGTGAAGATAGCTATTCCACCAAAAGGATAGGTAAAGGAAGAAAATAATAATCAGATATAACTGGTCCAAAGGGTCAGACTGTTAAAAAAAAATAATACAACTCGTATTAAATAAGAACCAAAACAAGGTTCAATCAAGCACAAAAATTTCCAAACCTCCAGGGGTAGATAGTTAGGCCGTTTTGGTTTCCCAACATCAAGACATGGAAGATAAGCAGAAGAGTTCAGCTGGATGCCACAGTGTTTTGCAAAATACTCATACACAGTAATATCCACTGTCTCCACTCCATTATTGTTGTCAACATTTCTCACCTTCATACTAAAACTGGGGAAGAAATCAGAACCGTAAGTTTCTGTTTTCCTTTAAATTTTTGCGATTTCAAGAAAAATAATGGACACTTGAATTTCCAAAAACAAGAACTTACAGTTGCTGAATGCAGGGCTTCTCACTCAAGCCAGAAATTTTAAATTCCTGGTTACGATGTGTTGCCCGCACCCTTAAATTTTTTAGCATTTTTTTGGCCTACAGATTCCCAAGAAAGAAAAAACCTTACAGGAATTTACTAATTCTGGATCATGAACCTTATGTACAGAGAATAGAAGTATGTCACCTTTGCCCAGTCTATATAACGGGCTTCCTTCACATTCTGGTTGGATAGGAGAAAATCAATTACAGGTCCAGGTTTTAAGATAATCGTAGTGGACACATCTAGAAATAAATAAATCAAAAATGTAAAGAGGAAAAGAATACAACTATATGATGATAAAATTACAAGATATGTATGAGAGCAGTCCTACCCATATTGAGAGACAATCCTCCCTGTGTGGGACGAAAACTGGAATGAAAACCCTGAACTCCTGTTACTCCACCTCCAACATCGGTGAAATTCCTCAAGTCATCATGAAAAAAAGATTGCCTTACCAAGAGACACCCTCTTCACATTCAAAAGAAATAGTTCAACTAAGTTAGAACAAATAAGTTATGACTAAATTCCAATCAAGAAAAATTTCATTGTACTTCTTTGATGTTTATCTTCAGAGGATGTATGGGTACCTGTTAGCTGCTTGCTGCCTCAGTACGATATCAAGTACTCTCAAGGCATCCTGAGAATTAGTATTTGACTCAACCCCTTTGAGGGCAAGAGCAATGGACTGCAGGGGTATTTTAGCAGCAAAACTTATTTCCACCATGAATATCTTTGACTGAAAAGAATGTTTTGACCTTTTAGTTTCCTTACGAGGGCTTCCATTAGCACCAGGATTCTCAGCACTACTGCTAGAGTTGGAAGACAGTATAAGCTTTAAGACAAAACATGACATAATTAAGACAATCATACAAAAGACTTACTGCTTTGCAAATGATTCCTCAAGCAATACTTCGAACTCAAACTTATTAGATGGCAGAGGACCCACTGTGTACAAAGTTCTATCTCCATCATAAGCATACCTTTTGCCACCAAGTTCAGAAGAGTATGTTTGGTAAAGCTTATCAATCAGTTTTCTCCCAATGCCCTTGCTTTCAATGGCTCTTTTATCTTCAGAAGCAATAGTAACCTGGAAATCCTTAAATAAGCCAAAGCCTACAATATAAGGGAAATTGAAGAAACAAAAACTCTCGACATACACTATACTGGAAAAATATTGCATCTGGGGCATTAACAGAAACTTTGAAGAGATTTGCAAGCAATGGTTTGCGTATTCCTGTGCTTCCAACCCCCTGCCTACTGATAATAGAATAATTTGCATGAGCTGTTTGTTCTGTTTCCATATTGGGAGGCAAATCAGGAGGTGGTGGAGATAAAGCTGGTGACTCAGAAGATTCTTCAATCCCAGGTACTTTCTCCATCTTTTCTTTTTTTTCCTCTTTCCTACTAATGACACTCTAATACATCAATCAGGAAGAGAACAGACATTATTTCAAATCCAAAATACAAATATACTCTGTTTATATAAGTTATGGCTTCCAAAGAGTCTTCAATGATGTGGTCATGCGATACAATTATCATAAAAATGCTTGTAACTTTTCCAACTAAAAGCAAGTCAAATGCCAGTCTGATCCATATGAAACAAGCACAGCATAAAAGGCTTCTAAAGCAACTTGTTGGTGAAGATCATGCCAATCATACACCATTATCTGACCTATGAGTATTAGCAGATTTAGATGTAGTTTTTCACTAAAAGTTAGTGTCATATACCCAATAAGATAAATATGAGGGGTAAGAAAAGAAGTGTTTCCACAAAGCACCTTATGTGTCTTCAATTAAAAAAAGAAACACAAAAAAAAGGGTTTGCTCAAATTGGCTTTGACCACTCCCATGTTTAGTGCTGAGCATAGTTGTATTTTCATTTTCAACCTTTAATTATCAACTGATAATTAAATATTATTGTAGTACGAAATAAAGTAAATGAATTTAACATAGATCATTAACAGTTCTTATTTTAAAAATTTATTAAAAACATGAAATTGTATCATAATTCACATCAACATGAATCAATTGTGTAAAAGGGGAAAATAATCATTTGGAGTAAGTAAATAAACATTTAGAAAAGATAATGAAATAAAGCAATTCACGTAGAATTAAAGAAAAAAAAATTAAAATAAAATATAAACACAGACCGAGGTTGTCAAAAGCAAATTTCCACTAAAAAATGCTTGAGCTAGGTAAAAGAGAAGCATGAAAACAAAACAACAAAGTGCAGAGATGTTACATATTATATAACATCAACATCATCATCAACATCACCATTACCTAAACCAGTTGGGGTCGGAGGTCTATAAACCCAATTAAAATAAAGAACATAATGCCAGAAAAGAAATAAAAAGAAAGACAAAATAAATACATTAATAAATAAAGGGAAAAGTGTTTCTCCTATAACGGGAGATAAAATTTTCTCCTGCAACCCCAAAACAACGTCGCTTTGTGGTTTGGGGAAAAAAACTCAGGCCATTTTGGGAATTTTGCTTATCTCTTGCAGCATCAATTTTCTCAAAACACACATCATTTTTTCTCCAAACCCAAAACAAATTTGTTTTGAGGTTGCAAGAAATAACTTCATCTCTACACCCGAAAATAAATATAGGAAAAAGGACTAAAAAAGGCAGTCTGGAACATAGTAAAAAATTTATCCCTCCATAATGCTAAAATATAAGTATGATATATTAATATTCTTATTCAAATTTATGTACTAAAATCACATTTCATAAACTCACAATTTCTGCACATAATAATCGGTAAGGAAAAGAAAATTAGAAATCATAATATATGACAAAAAATCCCCAAATCAAAACGAATCTCACTCCAAAATGAAAAATCACTCTTGCTGACTGTATTCGCCTCCACTCAACTCATTCTTGCCACCAGCGTGATTTGATGCTGCTTTTGTTCTTGCTGGTTCAAAGCTTACGATTTCTAATGCTTCAAGATTTTGATACAGCAGCTATCTTTTAGACTTTATGATGCCTTAACCGGGTTGCTTTTGTTGCCCAAATTGAGTAAATGACCACAAGCACAGTAAAACTCAATAAAAGCCCATAAAATCAAATCCATTTACCCTTAAAAGTTAAAACATAGAAGCATATATAGGTAAGGCATTGAAGGGTAAAAAGTAAACTAATTTTAAAAGGTTTATTCTTTACCTAACATCTAATGTGCATCCATGTTTTCCATCTATGAAAGCACCATGATAAAGACTGACATTTTGGATAAAGATTAGCGGTCAAAATGGAAATGGATGAGAATAAGCCAACAGTAAAATGTAAAGTAAATGATCCTTCAGAAACCAAAATCAACAAAAAAAGGAGCCCAGTCCTCCCAGCAAAAGATGAATTGGATGCGCAGTTGCCCAAAATAAGAATAGAGGAAATAACAAGTGAAGAAGAGATTTAAATAACAAAAGCTTTTGCAACCTCATACTGTATTAAAGATCAGGAACACATTCACATAAGAAAACAACTAAAAGCAAATGAATACATTACTGTATAGTGTATATAATGTTAAAACAAAAAGGCATATACTATTCAAAATTCAATAGCTCAACCCTAACAAAAAGGCATAGATAAACTCCATTGCCTAACTTAATGCTCCAAGAAAAATATGGACAGCTCACAGCTATGAAATGTGACCCAACATAGGGATACAAATCCAAACAGGCAAAAAATGATAAGGAGGAAGAACACCATACTGTATAATAGTGTATAATCTTTGCACAAATTATAAGTTAAGACACTATAAGGAAATCCCAGTAAAGCAAAATAACAATTTAAGAAAAAGAGAGCAATGACATTCTAGAAAATTTGCAGAACAAAAATGTCAGAATGAGCAAAACCCCAATGCACAAAGCTCCCTAATTTTTGCAAAAGGTAAGGATAAGGGTCCATTGCAAGTAGCCTTCTTCCCCAATACATTTTTTTGGAAAGAAGACTAAAACCCATGACTTTCAGCGTCACATAGAAGAGGCTTACCCTCAAAACCCCAATAGTGGAAGAAAAAAGAAAAAGAAAACCCAGTTGAAATCTCATAAAAAGAAAACACCATACAACCAAAACGTTTCATGAAACTTGACTTTCAAACAAACCCAACAACTTTAAAGTGAACCAAAATATGAGAAGCCAAAGGGAAGATCACCCACATAATGTCCACCCGAAACTCCACAAGTTGAAATCAAATTCAAGCTCATATATAACAAACAGAGCTAATGCATGCCAAAACAAAGTTTAAAAAAAAAAAAAAAAAAAAAAAAAAAAAAAAAAAAAAAAACAACAACTGAGTTTCGAAAAAAGTAGGTCGAATCGAAATACACGAGATTTGAGGTCAAAGGAGATGGAGAGAGAAGAGGTTAAAGCACAATCTTACCAAAATGAGGTAGCACTTGAAGGATAGACGAAGGTCTCGCTGAGTTTCAAAATGGCAAGCGACTCTTTCTTTTCCACTATTTGTAATGAGAGGGAAGCCAAAAGGGCATTTCTCTTTAAGTATTAAAATTTCATTGTAATATTTTCTTCTTCTTTTTTTTTCTTTTTTTGAAAGTTATTGTAATCTTTTCTTGGGTCCGATATACATTGTATTTGGCAACAAAAAAAAAATCCAAACTATATGCCACTTATAAATTTTATAATAATTTTTATTTGTTATGTATTGATATTATTTAATTACTGAAAATTAAAGAAAATAATTATTTAATTATTTTATATAAAGATACTAATTAAAAAAATTAAAAAATAAAGGATACGAAACAATAATAATTCATAATCACTAATGTCCAGTTATTATCACTATGATTAATTTTGAAAAAAAAAATGGTACTTATAAATAAGAAAATAATTATAATATTATTAAAGATATTAAAATAAAATAATATGTACACAATTGGGTAATAATATAAACTCTTTTTATAAACGAACACATTAAAATTAAATTATTTAATAATATAATAATTTTAAGAAAAATGGTTCACATCAAACTTCATCAAAATCATTTATTTGAGAGCAAAGGCTACTTGAGTTGTAATTATAAACTAAAATCATATAACCAAGTATCGCGCATGACTCTATTTTCATGTCAGTCACAATTCTTTAATAATATAATTATAAATAGATTATATAATATAACAACTTTGATCACACAAAATGTGGAAACATGCAAATTGAATGAACACATATTTGGACTTTTTCACAATAGCCTTTAATTAATAAAAAATTATTATCTTGCTCTCCTTATAAACTATTTTCAAAAATTTAACCTTCTCAACAAACATAACATTAATCTATCCTTGTTTGACCATTGACCACCCGGATACCCAAGTGAAAAATTATTTAACTAGGTACACACTCGGTTATCCCGGTACATATCTTTATTTACCCCGGTACACACCTAGTTACCTTGGTACATATCGTTATTTACCACAGTAGACACCAGGTTACCTTGGTACATATCCTTATTTACTATGGTACACACTCAGTTCCTCTGATATATATATATATATATATATATATCTTTATTTTTCAAGTCCAACCGTGAATTCAACTCAAAAGACAAACAATAAACTGTAAAGTAATAATAGGAACCTAGTAGAACCAAAAGACAAAAAAATGTAAAACATATTCATGAATGTACAATCCAATGGCCATCTCACATAACCAAATTACCAAAAAAAGTTGTGTTAACCCCAACATTTTGAAATTTTCAAAAATTATATTTTATATTTTAACCAGTTAATATTAAAAAATTTAATTTTTTATAAAAATTTCGTCTTACTTCACATTAATTTTAAAATATATACATAATTTCACTCTTATTCACAAAAAATTATGGATATGCAATGATGTCTTTATGCCTTATAGACGAGGGACTTAATGTGCATACCTCACTAACACTCACTCTAGCTAAAGGGGATGTATTCTTGACAAATTTTCCATACAAATTACAAACACATTTAACCACGTTTTCTTCATTGATGGATTTGAGTTGAATTCACGGTTGGGCTTAGAAAATAAGGATATGTATCAGAGTAATTGGGTGTGTACCAGGGTAAATAAGGATATGTACCATGATAACCAGGTGCGTACCAAGATAAATAAGGATATGTACCAGGGTAACCAAGTGTGTACCCGGATAAATAATTTTCTACCCGGGTAACCGGGTAGTCTACGCGGGTAACTGGGTAGTCAACGGTCGAACAGGGGTAGATTGGTGTTATGTTTGTTGAGAAGGTTAAATTTTTGAAATAGTTTATAAACGAGGGCAAGATGATAATTTTTTATTAGTTAAAGGCTACAATGGTCAAAAAACCCACATATTTGTATTAGTGTCATGCAAATCAAATTAATATTTTTTATATTTTTTTATA